ATTTAGCCCTCACAGAGCTCTCTATGTTGATATGTCTGTGCTATTTTTTGTACCTAAGCTTATCTGCTGCTAGCTCTGAAGTATCTCTACATCCTGTTAGTTTTAGGGTGATTACTTGTCTAACAAGCTATGAAAAGGAGTTTTGGGGCTGGGGGCAAGCTGTTTGGCTGCTTTTCAGTTCTCATACAAGATACAGATTTCAGTATTGCAAACAGGAAAGAGCTGCTGGCTGGACTGTTCTGTGAAGTCCTTTGATTCTGGAACACACCTCTGTCCTTGGTCAGACCTCCTCTAGCAGAACCTCTGCAAATCTGGTGAAGCTGTCCAGGAAGTTCTCCCTGGCATTCAAGAAGGAGCCTAAAGTCCTAGCTTAATCTAAAGTCTTGATAGTGTATAGTGTCTACAGACTTGATCTGTTACCTTCATTTGCATATGAATTTGTGGGCAATGTTGTAGAAGAGCTGCTGAGCATTTCAAGTGTTGGCAGATTTGTAGGATTTAATTGGTGAATGCCTACTGATTAAATTATTTCTTGGTTTTGGGTTTTTTAAAATCTAAAACATGTAAATCCAAGCAAGCTGGGCAACATTAATTTCCACAGTAAGTGTGCTTGGGAAGTACAATTCATGTGACTGTTCCTGGTGTCCCTTTTTCTGTTTGCAACACAAATATTGCAGTGAAATACTCATTGTGAAACTTAAGAATAGTGATTCCAGAAGCTGCTGCAGAGTACTCATAATAGATGGGTTTGGTGTTTTAAAGCTTAACCCTTTGCTTTAGAAAATCCAATTCCAGTTGTAATGCAATATGCATGCTTCAGTTTTAGAGATGGGAGAGAATTCAATTAGCCAGTAACTATATCCCATGTGATATATAAACATATCTAAATACAATTTGTATTTAAATACCTGCAGCAACTGCTCATGGACTGATGAAGAAATATCTTTGACTGGTCTCAACAGATAATTTTGATTTATGAATGTAGAACCACTTGAACCTGCGCATGAACAAGAAGACACAAATTGAACTGAATGCATTATTTAATACAGGGAAGTCACAAGATATTTGTAAACTGTGCTATATCCTTAGTAGTATGTCCTGCATCTTTTGTAGCAATCTTTGGAGGTATTCTTTAACAAACAGCCCATAGTATTTGGGACTCTAAATTTAAACTCATCTTGAATTAGAGGATGAAGTTCAGCAGTAAATTTCTACTTGGAATAGGCACTTCAAAAGCCTTGAAATAAATGCAAAAGGAACAAGAGTTTCTCTGAATTCTATGTCCTAGTGGGCACAGCTTGAAAGGTTTTGAAATTTATATCAGTGAAATAAGTTGTTCTTCACTGGTGTGAAAAGAGATTCCCTAGTATTAAAGGAGGAACATCCTCTTCCAAAATTCCTGAATTGCTTTTTTTAGATAAAAAAGCACCAACTTGTAAAAACTATTTTGTTTTCCTTTTTTTCATCAGTTCCTTCTGCATGTTATTTTTAAAAATATATGTTGGTATTGATCAGTGACCTTCCTCAGTGACACCTTTAGCTACCAGATGTGAACATGCTGCAAATAGCTCACTCTGTGCAGGTCTGCCAGTGCCTCCCAACCTTGACAGTGTGCTGCAAATGAACTGGAAGTAAGGCTGTCAAGGGATTCCTGCCAAGAGATCCAGGCTGCAATTTGCTGAATGCATCCTGTCTGAGTACCCTTAACTGGCTTGGAGTTCTTTCCTCTCAAGATCATGCTTTTATGTGGAAGACTGTTGCAAATCCTGATTTAGTATTCTGTTGACTGCCAATTTGCCACAATTGAGTGGTTGAGGCAGCTTAAACAATCACTGTCACAGGTATATTTAATATAAATGTGTAAAAGAGCAACAAAGTTCAATGGCAATGTTTGCTCTATTATTTGCTATGTAAATGAAGCATACAAAGGAATATTGGCTTCAAATCACTAGAATGATTTGCATGAAGACTAGGGATGCAAGTGATATGGGTGCAAAGTGTAAGGAAGACCTTCCCATAGAGTCACAAGGTTCAGAGTGGACGCTGTTGAAAAACTTAGCCTTAGACCCAATCACTGTTTCATGCTTAAAGGATTTAAGTAGTACTTAATCAATTTACTAATTCAGCATTTATCAAGTAATTCAATAAAATTGACTAAATTTGTAGTAGTTACTTAATTATCATTCTGAGATGTCAGTGTTTATGCTATACTTGCTAGAGGATATTTAAATCAATTCACACACATGCATGCACACAGACATGATGAAGTGTGTACAGAAGTACCTGTGAAAAATTCCCTCTGATTTCAGTCAAATCCCATGTCAAGTGCTTTGGCTTTTCTCAGCGGTTGAAGCTCAATGACTGAGACTTTATCCACCTATGCCCTGTCTTCAGCTTTCTCACAAACTTGAGAGTTTGCAAGCTCTGAGAGCCATCTCCCACTACAAGGGAGATTCTGGTGCACCCCACTGAAGTCCAAGGAAGCTCAAAGGGCCTCACTTAAGACCTCTATTTATAGGGTAGCGAGATAAAATCTGTAAAATGTCTGTCCTCAGATCAGTAATGACTGGAGTTTCCAAACCAGTTCCAAATTGTTTCCAATACAAGTTCAAACTGTTTTTCAAACTCCAGCCACAATGGTATTATTCCCCTTGGGTTGTGGTTCAGGTAAAGTCCCAAGGTTGTAAGTGGACTGTCCTCTTGTCCTTCATCTCAGGAACGCACCCAGTTTAAACATGCAAGAGTTGCCATATGGTCAAGAGAAGCATGACCATCCAACTCGGCACACAAAAGCTTTCTTGATATTTGTCAATGAAAAATCCTGAAATTATATGAAGATGTTTTATACATTTATGCTGCTGTAGTTTTATATACAGCTTTTTTGAATTTATACTCTACATTTAAAAACAATAAGTTTATCAACACTGATTTTGTAATAGCCATAGTCAGAAAAGACTGTTTATTTAACAAGTATATGTTTTCTCTATGTATGTTTCTCTGAAGTTGTACATGAGCAGACGGAGGACTTCGCAGCATGTGTTTGTAGTACATCACTATCAGGTTAATATACTTAGTAATTTTTTGTGTGTGCGTGACTATTCTGGAACTTCTCAACAGAGTGGTTAAAAACCTGTGAAAATTTTTAAGTCCTTAACACAGTATTTCAGGGGGAAAAAATTTACAAGTATCTTATAGGCATTGCATGACACTTGCTGGAGTACTACACACTTAAAAAAAACAAACAAGGAGAAGTGAGAGTATAACAATTGCAATGTTGGAAAATATCTGTTTTTTTTTTTAGAGAAATAGCCTGTTGAAAAGCATGGATCGACATTTAAAAGGGAAGTAATTAATGAACAGACCTCTTTATTTCAGTGGATTTAAGATCAGGCCATAGATAGGATTAGTTTGAGGATGGAGTTGTGATACATTTTTGTAAGAGTACAATATTCTATAACCAGGCTCTTCCGTTATTCCATACATGGAGAGTTTAATGTATCAGGTTTATGTATTTGAGGATCTTTTACCTTATGCAGGATTTTGATTTAGTAAATGATGCCACAGTGCTCTGAAATCACTACACAAGTTACACTTATCAGAACATAACAATTTACTATATACATTAATCACTATACAAATATGGTTCTTGTTTTACTAGTCTTGTTTGATGTGATCATCCCCAGGTGCTGGGAAGGAATGTGGACTAAAGTCAGATCAAGCCTTTCTCTCTTCAAATGTCTCCTTATTAATTGCTCAGCTTTGGTACTGTGTTAGGTCAGCCAGATATACACTGTCCTGTGCTGGTTTGGCTAACTCAAGAAGACATTCACACTCTTGCTTATGTTTTTATTAACTGTTTGACAACATTCACGTAACCAGTCTACTCATGCAACAGGCACAGTCATTTAACTAAAAGGCTACTCTCTGGTTCCTTTTTTTGTTACATCTAGCTTTCTCTGCAACAGTGATGATAAGTGGGCTTTTGTCTGAATTCAGTGGGAACATGTCTGTGTAAGAGTGCCTAGCATATTTTCAGAGGCAAGCACAGGAGTATTTTTACATGAATCAAGCTATGGAAAATTTGTGAAAAAAGCCCAAACAGGTTTTTTTTTTTTTTTTTTTTTTTTTTTCAAAAAAAGTTTTTTTTTTTTTTTTTTTTTTTTTTTTTTTTTGCAGAGACGAGTCTATTGCCACAGTGACATTTTTTTCATATATGAATCTCCAGTTTAAAATCTTTTGGCCTTTCTAAAGTCAGTCAGGTTCCTTTAAAGTCACTGGAGACAGACCTTACCCTTTCTGCGAAGATAGAAAGCTATGAGAGTTTCATCAAAGCAATATATTCCCCTGGAAGTACAGAACCCATTAGAGTCTAATGTTTATTAATATGCAAACTTTGGTAGAATTTAACTTAGTCTCTTAGTCATGTTCTCCTGTTCTCATATATATTTGCAAAATTGTACTGTTGCAGACAGAGCTAAACTGCATTGATGTGAACTTCATTTTATCTATTTGTTTGGGAATGGGACTAAATTGTAAAACAGCTTAATAGACTTGGGGCTCATTAGGTGTTCATTATAAATACATCTTTATAATCAAATCTCATGTAATGTTGTTACTGTGGAATTAATACACTCATAATGGAAAACAGTACATTTCTGCTTCAATAAGTAAAGGAGCCTGTTACATTTCAATAAGTCAAACATAAATGCCACAGGTAAGAGACATCTGAAACAAATTTTTTTATGCCATTGGTTTGCTCTGGATAATCCCCACAAACATTGTTGTGGCTAAGGTGCAACTATGATTTTGGACTGAGGCATACATATGTCTTCAAATTCTTCTTCCTCTCCAAAGCAAAAACAAGTAAGAGATTCCCAAAAGTCTCACAATCTTTATAGCTAGGGTTTGTTAATGGAATCTAGTTTGCTTTCCTGTGGTATGGATACTAAATCCCATAGTAGAACATTGTCCAGTGTTGCCCTTTTAGCAACATGAAATGTTTAGGAATAAACATCTGCTGATGCGTGTAGTGAACTGATGAGACTTGAGGCCATGGAGACAGTCTTGGAATTCCTCTGTGAGCAACCATTGAAGTTCAGGTCCCTTGGAGCTGTTCTTTTCTTATGGCTGGCATGCGTGCTGTCTCCATCGTTAGTGTCGAGCACCACCGTCATGCTGGAGTCCATCCTGGACACCGCGTAGAGGCTGCTCTGCCGGGTGGGGTGGAACCTGGCTGCCTTTAGCTCCAGCTCGTCATAGCTGGACACCTCAATGAAGGGGCACCAGCGGAAAGCTCGCTTGAAGCCAGCTCGGAACCTAGGAAGAAAGAAGCCTGGTGAATGCCTGGGTTGGGAGAGCCAGCCCCTGGCCTTCATCTGAAAACACACAGTGCTGGCAGGATACTGACTTGGCCAATTATCCTGCCCCTAGGCCTGGGTGTGCTGAAGTCAGTGGGAGTTTCCTTGACTGAAGTCTGAGTAGGGCAACAAAAGATAGTGTAACATCTGATTTCGGTTTCTGATTTTCTGTATGCTGTCCCTGCATTTTAACATTGGTGTTTTCCTTATAATGAATTTCCTGCCTTTTGCCTGTGCAAAGTAAAAAAACACCAACTTTCATAGAACTGTCTTCACAGAAATTGTTTTGATTTGACCTCTAATGTGATCTGCACCCATATTTTCATCTTTCAGCAAGAAACTTTGTAACTTTCTTTTCTCTAAAATTCCATCCCAGCTTCCAAATTTCAATATCCTTTCTGTGTCTCTTTCTAACAGAGATGCTTATATGGGAATGATGTAATGACTAATAATTGTTCATGTAAAATGTTTGGAAAATAATTTTAATAATTAAGAGCATCCTAGAAAGTTGAAATCTGAATGTGAGCAATATACAAACAGGCACTTTGAAGCTTTCAAGTATTTGCAATACTAATACAGAGGCAGGGATTCACCATAAAGACCATTGTTACATTTTGTGTGGTTGCATTTCCAGAATAAAAGTTTAATATATTAGAAAAGCGATTCCCTATGTACCTATGTATAACTAGAAAAAGAACATATTTTCACCCAGACTTAAAGCTTATTTTCTTTTGCTTTCTCACTTGTCTTGCTTCTCTTGTTTTCTTTTAGCAATCAACTCGGTTTTTTATCCTAAGTGTTTTGGAGCAGTGGTTAAACTAGCACAGTGATGACTGCAGGTAAAAATTCAGATCAAGTGTTCTGTTAAAGTTAACAGATCTCACAGAAGTGACTTTTACTTCCTCAGATTTTGAAGTTTGCCATGGAGTTTTCACATTATGACACCTGAGCAGGTAGGTTGCTATTCAGCATTCTCTGTTTACATGCAGTCCATATTTTGGAAAAATACTGAAAGAACCTCTGATGGAAATGGATTTAGTGATCGGAATTGTAAAACAAAAGCATCTTTAAACTGTATTACTTTTCTTGGCACCTTCCATCCTCTTTCTAATTCAGGGCATGTTTTTTCTTCATCTTGAAATAATGCTCTCTTTATCTAGATGTGTAATATCCTAATTAGCCTGGAAGATGACGCTGGGGATAGATGTTCTGTCTGATACTAGATCCAGCAGAGGCACGAGCTGATCTGACTCCCAGCAACAAGTTCTATTTTCCTATTTAATGAAAAGGAAGCAGACATTCTGGTATCTTCATTTCAATATGGAACTTAATTATAAGAAAACTGTCACCAGGACTTCATTCTTGCATCAAATTCTGAATAAGATGACCTTTAGTATGTCTTAAATATTAATTTTTCTGTGGCTGCATTCTTTAATCCAGACATTTAATTTTGCAGTTTGCAAGTGTCAACATAAGCCACATCGGAGATATTATTTTTTTATAAATATTTTTGTAGCTGTGCTGTAAAAAGTTTTTTAAGAAAATGGGATTAGTTTATAAGTTTTATGGTAGTAATTGAAATATATGAGGCCTCATTCTTCCTTGCCTTTGATTTTGCAGACACTGGACACTTACTGAAATCTATTTTCTGTTGAAATTAATGGAAAATTTGCCATTTGACTTAGTTTTGTTCTGGCATGCTAAAACTTTGTCATCTTTAAACAGTTGTGTATGATGAAAAGCTCACCTTTAAGCAGTTGTAAAATGATGAAGAGCTCATCAGAAGGCTCTATGAATTTAGTCATTACCTTATCTTTTAAAAAGATAATGAATGTTAATCGTCATAAGTTATTCCCATCAAGAAGGATGACACAAGTGTTTTTATTCCAATAAAAGCTTGTTAGGATTTGTTCACTTCATTTCTTATTAGATTCCTCTTGACAGGTACTGCATGATCTTTAGTGAGTGTTGAGAAATACCATGTAATATTGGTATCAAGTTTGACAGTAATTAAACTTGGCACTGGCTGCTAAGTCAAAAGAGATTTGAAATAATATTTGAGATTACTTATTCAATACTGATTCATACTGGGTTTGTGAAGTAATTAATTGTTCTTGGTGATCTTTATCCAATTATGCTAGGAGTGCTGGTGAATAGGATGGCCAGGATGCTTGTGTAGATCCTAGTCCTGTAAGTTGAAATGAAAGATTTGAGTGCATTCTGCAGTGCAGTTTTCTCAGACTAGCACGTATTGGTAAAATGTCACCAAACTCAATAGGTGCAGTGCCTTTGAAATTTAGAGCATAATGTCTTGTTATCAAACAATCCTGTAATTCAGTATAAAGTAATGAGAATATAAACATTGGTATAATATTCATCAGCCTGTTGCAGATCTTAGAGCACAGTAGAAATGTAATGCTGAGATATACAGAACACAGTAAATCACATTTTGTATTGCATTCTTCCAGCAAAACAAAATTTGGGCTACAATTAGTGAACATACAGCTTGCACTCGATATTAATAATTACTGTCTTCTTTATTTTTATATTTTGCAAACCAAGACCTTTAAACTGCTATATTTTTTTTTAATTTTGCAAGTGCACATGGGAAGGACTTGTTTCTGAAAACAGAATTTTGCTCTGAAATTTTAAGTAGACCAGAATTTTTACTGGAAGTTCACCTTCAGGGTTTTGGGGGTTCTTTTCAAGTACAGACCTAAAGAAAGGTGTTTTTTTTTTTTTTTTTTTTTTTTTTTTTTTTTTTTTCCTTTTTTTTTTTTTTTTTTTATTTTTTTTTTTTTTTTTTTTTTTTGTTTTTTCCCCACTAACTGGAAGCTATTTAAGTGAAAATTCTATGTCTGTTTTTCCATTTAAGCAGTTTATATTCTCATTTCATAACCAGCTCTTACCTCTTATTAAGACAGCAGTAGATAATGGGATTGTACATTGTAGAGCTCATGGCAAGCCAAAAGCTGGCTAAATAGATTTGCTGAATATATTTCCACCGATTTAATTGTTGATAGATCCCAGTAACTATGAAGTAAATGTGGTAGGGCAGCCAGCAGACGGCAAATGTCAGCACAACCACAATCATCATTTTTACCACCTGAAAGAAGTAATAATGATATTTAGCCTTTTTAATTTGGACTAGCGTTTCAACATCCATTAATAATTTTCTTGTAATTAATTTTTAAAGTTAGTCAAAGGAAAGCTGAATATTCTTTTATATAGTTTTTCCTTTTAATCTGACTCTATTTTTTTCTTGACTGGAGATCTTTTTCCTAAGAGAAATAGCAAGAAAACCTTCCCTAACTATATTTGTATTGATTTTTGCAAATAACGTATTTGCTTGCTTATATTTGGCTATTTAAAATATCACTTATTTTTTTGTATATCTAACCGTGGCATAAGGTTACGGAGTATTTTATTTGGACACCTCATTTTGGCCTTTATTGACCTTGGTGTTTATTTTTATTGTGGTCTGCAAGTCTATTTCTTGTCCCCAGTTTTTAGATATGATTTGAATAACACTATGTTGTAGGAAATGAGCAACTGCAGCATCCTGTGTAATTTCAGAGCCTAACAATTCCCTTGGCTGGTGATTATTATTTGTTGCTTTCTGCAGGCATCACATCTGTTAGCTACCATAGTTTCCAGTAAGCACAAATGAAGAGGAGCTCTGCTTTGTGCTCTAAACATTTGAAGACAGCTTGCAACTCATGTAAAATTTTCACTCCCATCTTTCTCTTTTCAGCTGTGTCAAATACTAGTCCAGCTACCATTTACAGCACAGTATGTCACATGTTTACACCACAGGTTTTCTTTTTGTAGCTGAAATGAAGCTAGACATGATAGATCTGTGCTGGGAAGTCTCTTGTTCATTGGTACTTGTGAATACTGAGGAATAACAGGGATCCCGACGAACGGTACCTCTGTACAAAGTGCCCTTTCATACTCTTTCTAGTTTTACCAAGGGAAAAATCCAAAGAGCTGAAATTTGCCATACTTACTTGTCTTTGGTTAATGTTTTTATAAAATTCCAACTAATATATATTATATATATTATATATATATATATAATATATATTATATATTTTATATATATATAATATATATATTATATATATATTATATATAAATATAATATATCTTTATTTTGTATACAAGTATTATGGTATCCACCTTAACTTTTAATTGCATGTTCCTATGGGAAACATAAAACAATTTTTCATTTAAAAGCTAGCACTAATTAACAATCTTTCCTATTGGATGGGACTGTAATGTGCAAGATTTTGCTTATTAGAATACTTATTATTGCTGATATATATCCACTGATCATCACTTAAAGGCAAGAAAGAGGTGTCTGGCCACATATAAAACATTAATAGGACTTGGTTCTTCTGAAGCACTTTTCATCAGTTAACTATAAATCATCCTATGATCAGGAATGTTATTGGAAAGCATGATGTGAGCTGCTGCTATTGTAAAGGTAGCAAAGAAGAAGTTTTATTTCTGACTAATATTTATACTTTTCTAAAGCTGACAGTGGATTGGAGGGTAAACATGCCACCTCTCCAATGACACTGGACAAACTATTAGTGCATGAAATTTCTCCACCTCTCTGAAGGAATGCAAAACAATAGGTTATTTACAGAAAGTTGTGTGAGAAAGTTTTCTACAAGAATGTAAACCCAGAAGGCTTTAGAAAATCTTAAAAATCAGGGCAACAGGAAGTTCATTGTTATAAAGGAAGGCAACACAGCAAAACATAGTATCACTTTTACCTTTCACATGTATGTCTATGTGTCTACATCTAGGCATATATATACGTTTATGGGACTATATATGTGATTTTTGGGTGGGGAAAAGGTTATGATTTTATGTGGACAGACATTTCTGGACTAAACTATGTATGTGAAGTGATACATAAAAAGATGTTGTTAAATCAGTCTATCATTAAATGGCATCACTATTTCACTGCTTTTGACATAACTTCCACTGTTCTGCTAGGGACTTAATTCTCTGCCTTGCACACATTGTATAGATAAGAGCCTTAATTCTGTACTTTTGCCATAGTACTTAAGCTCCCTGTCATTGATTTACAGGTGCCCTTTGCTTGTTGTTGTGTTTTTATAGATTTGTCAGGAATGACAAGTGTTACCTCAGCACGTTTCAGGACTTCTGTAATTTCAGAATGCTTGAGAGTCTTAATTATTTACCTTAATATTTAATCAGCAGGCCTTGCAGTACCAGCTGTGCATATGAAATTGTTCCTAGAATGAGTCATCACTGGAATATCATAGGTACTGAATGAAAAGATTTTTGTGTCCAAATTTTCCAAGTGTAAACAGGTAAATCTGTATTTACAGTGTACATTTCATCTGTGCAGTACTTGAGAACTAAAACAGTAGAGCTTCCCAGCAACAAAATGTTGCTTTATCTGGTTGAGCACTGTATCACTCATGCCCCAGGGATGCTAGAAATCACAGAGTCCAGGTTGCCTGTTTGGCATACTTAATTGTGTTAATTTTTTCCAAAAGGAAGTTGTTTGTCTTTTTTTCTGACATCCAAATGCTCATTGTCTAATTTTGTGTTATATTGAATGGCAAGGCAAACAGTGCTTCCAGAGTCTACTTAAAGGCCTCCTAAAGCTAATAAACCATCACACACTGTACAAAAAATAGCTTTTAGATTTCAGCTGCTGCAAAAATTAACCTTGAAGGAATGAAGTTTCAGTTTAAATTACTATTAAATACAACATTTCAGGTTTTCTTCAAGGGACCAGAAATCTCAAACTAACTTTTACCCTGCAAAGAAAATCCACAATTTTTCTTGTGACAATTTCAGGCAATTCAATTCTAATTTTGAATTTTTAAAGTTTTGAAATGAAAAATGCCAAATCACCCCCAGAGAATTGTGTCTTTCCCTGCAAGGCTACTCTCTTGTTTAAAACAAATACTCATTGTTTAAAAGAGTGAGAATCATATAAGGTTTTCTTGTTGCTGTTTCTGTCTGGAAATCTATGATTAAATATTTAGTCATGATCCTCCTGAAAGCAGAAATTTCTGAAGCAAATAGTCAAACTAGACAACAAGCTATAGATTCTAGATGGACATGAGTGTTTGATTTAATTTGTGAAGTAATGAGTCACTTGAATGACAGACAGTGAGGCACATCACATTCTCAATCATTCAGGTTTGCATGTCATTTTAAGTATTTATATAGTACAGTGCACTTATTGACATATTTCCTAGGAGAAGATAAGTGAGATGTTGCAAGTCTGTGTGGTGTAAAATTGTTGGAAACAGAAGGCAATTAAGGTTAAATTTGAAGTCAAATGCAGAAATTGTGAGAGGAATCAAAAAGACCTAGTCTGTTCTCTTTTCATCTAAGAATGACTGTGTGTTGGCAGAAATGGAGGAAAAAAAGAATGAGGAGATGGAGGGAGATTATTCTCAATGTCCTTTTCCCTTTCAGAGAGAGGCACACACTGCAAGGCCATACCTTGCAGTTTATAGCTGCAGTTCTTGTCTGTAATGATGATCATTCCAGTATAAAGTTTCATTTCTTGATTATATAAATAACTATGAACAGAAAGTGACTTTCTCTATAAACCTAGGGCACCTTGGGTTTACTTGGAATAAATTCTGATGAACAAGTGCAAGTAAACCAAAAGAGAATGTATATTTTGAATTTCATGCACTTAATATATTTTTGTCATTCTTCAAATGACTGTACAAGGATGTGAATTTATTAAGTAGACTTGTAACAGGCCCAGTATGAATTTACCACAAAAACTTGATTGTCTTTTCCCAGTACACTGTGATGTTTTTCTAAAGAAACACCAGTGGCACTTCACAGATTCTCCAACTGCAGAGTATAAAAGAGAGCTTCAGTGTTGGGGGTTGTTTTTGGTCTACTTAAACCTGTGACTGAAGAAAAAATACTTTTAATAGGTCTGTTCTGTTTCTCTTTTTTGAGATATTACTATTTTTTCAGCTGCTTTTCCTTCTATTCTAACTTGCATAGAATTTATTAATAAGCGTTTTCTCTTGTGCATTAGGAAACATTTCTAAAGCAAAAAATGACTGAATTCAGTTGTTTAGCTTAAGGTCTAGCTCTGCTCCTGCCAGCATTTAACCATGGAGCTTCCCAAAATGTGAATTGCTGTCAAAATCTTTTATCCCATTTTCCCCTGGTGTTTTGTTCAGTCTCCCTCTATGTGGGCAGCATATCTTGAGGAAGGAGAGTTTTTTTGTGTTCTAGGTGATACTTTGTTAAATGCATTGTGCTGAGTCCCCCACCTGTGCAATCTTCATGCCAGTCTTGAGGCAAGATTTGTAAATGGAAAATCAAATTATCTATTTTATAAAATGATTTTCATCAACTAGTTCTGCTGATATTAATATATTGCTGCCTATGTCTAAGAAAAACTATGTCTAGAGAAGAAAGTTAATTTATGTGCTTCGTAGTATTTTCCTTTAAATCCTCTCTGAGTAAGAAGCATTCTTTCATTAATGCATGTAATGAGAAAAAAATGTATTTAAGGAGCAAAACTGATGTAAGTTCATTGGAATTGGAGTTTGCAAGTTTGCCTTTTCTGTGAAACACTTGGAACAGTAAAAGTGAAATGGAACTAACAGATTCTGCTACACTTAGAAAAAAATGCAAGTACATTTATTTTTCCATCCTGTTTTTATTTTGCATGAAGAATAGCTAGAAGAGTAGTCTGATTTAAGGTGTAGCATGGAGAGCAGCTCTTGAAAGATTTGGAATAAGATACACTTTTCTGAGAGACTCAGTTGCTGCTGGAGGAATATAGCAATTCACATTGCAAGGCATTGATTTGCCAGCAATACCTAAGACTTGGACCATGCAATCATTTCCTTTTCAATCTTCTCTGCAGCTCTTTATTGCCTTTCTAAGTAATCTTTGATACTGCTGCTTCTACAAGTGCAGGAATTTGTATTTTAGTTTCATTTGCACTTATATCACAGGGAACAATTTATTAACTTTCAGAACTTTTACTCCTGGCTGTTATGCAGATATAAACGAGAAGCAAATGATTTAAGAAGCCATGGAGTCTAAGTCTCTCTTTGTTTATCC